CCCCCCCCCTGCCCCCACACGTTTTCGGGGAGCTGTAAATAAACCACAGCCCCCGCTGGGCCTGTAAATAAACCACAGGAATTCCAAAGCTTAACCCCCTCCCTCCTCCACAGGGTTTTAAATAAATGTAAATTTCACGGCACGAGGCAAATCATAAATCTCGAAGGGTCACATTCTCGTGGGAAAGCATGATTAATCGCAGGAAGCAAATCGTAGAGGCTTTTGGGGATGGTGATATAGATGCGACGGAACACACAAGTTTTTAAACTACTCTTAGGGAATTTGTGACCCCCGCTGAAAGGAAAACTAACGTTCTGCCCCGCTTTTGTAGAAATGGGAAGTTGTCCTCTTTTTGCTGAAGGCCATTAAATGACGCCTGGAGCATTCAAGGTGATATATTTCCCAGCATTCGTGGTCATCTTTATGTCCACCTGTAAAGATAATGTTTGTAATCTCAGTACGCTCTGTTTCCTCGTTCCTCCACTCCACATGAAATTCTTCTATGCTCTCTGCGTCAAACCAAGCAAATAATTGAGTCCTGAAGTAAAAATGATAAAATGTTAGCAGTGCTGAGAGCGAAAGCTTCAGTAGAGAGTGGGAAAAGAGGTAAAGTTTAAGATGTTGTACATTTCCAGCATTTTTTTTTTGAAACCTCTATCAATTAGTGTCAGGGAGCCTGAAGTGGACATACACAGATCCTGACCAAGGCCTTTAGAAGGATAGAACAATTTAGAGGAAGAGGAAACATGATAACTCAGTGAAACATCAGGACGGTACAGTAATGAGGAATGATCTTGTTTTGAGAGCTCAAAATTCAAATTATTTTGGATGAAAATAAGAAATAGTGAAGGAGAGTACTCTCTGGTGGGAGCACTCTATAGGGCTTCCAATGCTGTAAATCAAAAAATTTGGACCTGAAAGAAATATGCTTCATTAATTAATTGTGAACGACTTTAACTTTTCTTATAGATTGGGTAAATCATATTGATGAAGTTAGTCTTGAAGGTGAGCTCATACAAGAAACTGTCCCAAACAAACACTAACTGCTTTAGAATTAACTAGTAAACAGGTGATTTTAGATCTGTTAATATGTAATGAGAGAGGATTAATTAATGATCTCACTGTAAGGAGTGATCATTCCATCATAGAATTTTGCAGTCAGTTTCAAAGTGAGAGACGCAATGATCTGAACCCAGTGCACTAAATTTAAAGGCAGTTCTGGAGATATAAAAGCGAAAGTGGACTGGAAAAATATATTAATAGGTAAGAAAGAGGATAAGTGGTAGCAAGTATTGGAGCTGTTTTGTAGTCTCAATAATGACTCCTGAGAACAATGGAGCAGTTGTGGATAACAAAAGAAGTTAAGGATGGCATCATGTTGAGTCATAGTGCCAGAAAGAATAATGGTAAAGCAAGATTCAGGAAGTTTTAGAACCCAGCAAAGGATAATTCCTAAAATATGAGGGGAAGAAAATCAACTGAGTATACCGCTGAGAAACAGCAACAGTGTGAAAAGGAGAGTAACTTAAGTAAACATTGATCCCTTAGAGGATGAGATTAGGGAATTTATAATGGGAAACAAAGAATAGCAGCGGCAGTTGTGCTTTGTATCTGTCTTTAAAGTAGAAGACATTAAAGCATCCCAACAATAGAAATGTCAGTTAGAAAGGAGGGAGCAAAATATTACTAGGCAAACTAATGAGACTAAAAGATTACAGGGCCCTGATTTCTTCCTAAAGTAAGTGGCTGCAGAAATTTTGGGTGCATTGTTCGTAATTTTTCAGAGTTTCCAAAATTTGGAAGGATGTCAGTGCACTAGACAATCACAAATACAACACCTTTAAGGGAGTGAGACACAAAAGCAGAAAATGAGAAACCTGTTCCTCTAACAGTTGTCATTCGGAAAATGCTGGAATCCATTTTTAAGGAAGCAGGAGTAGGACACTTGTAAAAATATACCAATTGATTCTGCTTAATTGTATTTTAATGAGAGACAAATTTATTGGCACTCTTAGGATCTTCAAGTAAAGTGGATAAGGAGGAACTAGTAGATGGAGTGAAGTATGACTTTCTGAAAAACGTTTGATGTGATGTCATATGCAGGTTTACTGCACATGCATTCATGCTGTTGGAGTAATATTCTAGTTGGAGAATTGACTAAACAAACTAAGCAAATATGTGCCATCATCACAACAACTTACAATCTACACGTGTCTAAGCTAACTAGGAATTTTTAAGATTTATTATTTGAACCTTTATTTTGGTTTGTAACAAAGTTGCAAACAATAGTTTTGGTGCAACAAACTAAGATTATTTATTAAATAATTAAGCTATTGTTAACAACAAGGCAGTAGTTTATGAATCACGTGGCCTTTCCTCAATGGAGCAGCTTCTGTGAACCTGTGCAACTTTGCAGTTTAGAAGATATAAGATCCTGATGAGACTTGATAGGTTGGATGCAATGATGACATTTCATCTTGCCGGAAAGACTAGAATTTGGGTATATAACGTAAGAGTAACAGAGCAAGAGGCCTCCCTGGGAATGGCTGAGATGGAACCAAACTGATCTAGTTCTTTGAATGATCATAAATTCTGTCTGATTCTTTAAATTACAACACAGAAAGAGGCCATTAAGCTCATTATGTCTGTGCTGGCTGAACAAACTTACAAAAACATTCTAATCCAGCTTTATAGAGTTATACAAATCTACAGCACATAAAAAGACCTGGTCAAAAACAACCACCTAACTATTCCAGTCGCATTTTTCGGCACTTGGTCCATAGCCTTGTATGCCTTGTACACCCTCTGGGTGTAAACATTTTTCCTTAGATCTCCTCCAAATCTTTTGCCCATTACCTTAAATCTATGTCCCTGGTCCATTAAGGGGAAAGTTCCTTCCTTTCAACCCTATCTGCACCCCTCATACTTTTATACATCGTAATCATGTACTTCCTCAATCTGCTCAGCTCAATGAAAACAACCTCAGTCTGTCGAATCTCTCTCCATAGCTGAAACTCACCAGCTCGTGCAACACCCTGGTAAATCTCCTCTCTACCCTCCAGTATGATCACAGCTTTCCAGAATTGTACACAATACTCTGCCTCTGGCCTAACCAATGTTTTATACGCTTCCAATATAACTTCCATGCTCTTAAACACTCTGTCTTGACTGATAAAGGCAACAATACCAGATGCCTTTTTAACCACCTGTCCTGATACCTCAAGGGACTGGTGTACACGCATACCCAAGGTCCCCCGATCCTCCGTGCTTGCTAGAGTCCTACTGTTTGTTATGTACTTTCCAGCATCTGGTTTGTAGCCTTGGATCTATGATGCAGATCCAGGTTCCTTTTACATGGTTTACACCTCAGCTTCCAAACTGAGGTTAATTCCAGACACTCCTCACACTCGGGGTGAAAATATTTTTCCTTAGGCCAATTACCTCAAATCTCTGGTTGAAACTTAACTGAAAATGGTAATTGTGAACTGTTGTTACAAAAAGGTTGCAGAATCATTGATTCATACAGCGTGGAAACAGTTCCTTTGGACCAACTCGTCCATGCAGACCAAGTTTCCCAAACTAAACTAGTTCCAGATAACACATTGTGGAGCTGGAGGAACACAGCAGGCCAGGCAGCATCAGAGGAGCAGGAAAACTGACGATTTGGGTCGGGACCCTTCTTCAGAAATCAGAAACTAGTCCCACTTGCCTGTATTTAGCCCATTTCCCTCTAAACCTTTCCTGTTCATGCACCTGTCCAAAATCTTTGCAATGTTGTAACTGTCCCTGCATCTACATCTACCACTTCCTCTGGCAGTTTATTCCACATACGAACCACCCTCTGTGAAAAAGTTGCCCTTTGGTTCCCTTTTAAATTTTTCTCCTCTCACTTAAAAAAAACTTCCCCTATCCTAGGGAAAAGACCTTTGTTTTTCAACTTGTCTATGCCCCGCATGATTTTATAAACCTCTATAAGGTCACCCCTCAACCTCCTGTGCTCAAAAAAATCACAAGTGTTACAGGGCACAAAGAATTATTTTGTCCCATCACCACTGCACTGGCTCTTCACAATGTAACTGAGTTTTTTGCTGTCTTTCTGCTTATGTTTGCATAATATTTTAATTCAGATAGTAATCTATTGCCTCTTGGATGCCTCAATTGCTTCTGCTTCCACTGCACATCCAGGTAGTACATTCCAGATCTGAATCGCTTGTGTGAAAATATTAGGAATGTGATGGAAAACTCCCCACTTGGCTAGATGAGTACAGCTCCAGCAATACCCAAGAAACATGACACTATCCAGGGCAAAGATTGCACCACACATCTACAGGCATCCACTCTCTCCACTGCTGACGCTCAGTAGCAGCAACATTGTGTGCCATCTACAAGATACATTGTGGAAATTCATCAAGGCTCATTAGCATCTTCCAATCCCATGATTACTTCCATCTTGGAGGATAAAGGCGGCGCATACATGAGAACACTACCGCCTGCAGGCTCCTCTCCAAGCTGCTCACCATCCTGACTTTAGAAATATATTGCCATTCCTTCAGTGTTGTTGGATCAAAATCCTGTAATTCTTTCCCTAATAGAGTGTAGCGTTTCAAGAAGACAGCTCACCACCTTCTCAAGGACAGCTAGGGATGGGTGTAAATTCCTCACCCAGCCAGCAACTCTTACATCGCGAGAGTGAACAAAATAAAAAACAAAGTTTTTAATTCTGTGCCCTCTCATTCTTGATGCTGTCATGAGTGGGAACAGTTTCTCCCTATCTGTACCTTCTAGTCCTTTCGTGATTTTGGAAACATCCATCACATGTCCCCTTCACTTTTTCTCCAAGAAGAACAGTGCCATCCTTTGCAATCTATCTCTTACAACTGAAGTTTCTCATCCCTGGAGCCATTTTCGTAAACCTCTTCTGCGCGCTCTCCAACTTGTTCGCATGCTTTCTACAGTGGGGGCCCATTTAAACTCAATCTGCCATCAGCCCATTGACCCTATTGATCAAGATCCCTTTGTAATCTTAGATAATTTTCTTCACTGTCCACTATACCACCAATTTGGGTGTCAAACTTACTAACCAGGTGGCCTGCTTCTATGCTGTATGGATTCTATGCCTCCTATGTTCTCATCCAAGTTATTTATATAAATGACAAACAAAAGTGGACCCAGTACCAATCCCTGTGGAACACCACTCATCACAGGCCTCCAATCCAAAAACCAATCCTCCACCATGATCCTCTGTCTCCTACTGTCAAGCCAGTCTTGTATCCAATTGGCAAGCTCCCCCTGAATCCCATGTGATCTAACATTACTAATTAGTCTACCATGCGGAACTTATCAAAGCCTTACTAAAGTCCATATAAACAAGGTCTGCTGCTCTGCCGTCATCCGTCTTCTTGGTTGCTTCCTTGAAAAACTCAGTTGACGTTGTGAGACACAATTTCCCTTGTACAAAATCATGCTGACTATCCTAATTAATCCTTGCATCTCCAAATTCATGTAAACCCTATCTTTCAGACTCACTTCCAATAACCTAACCACTTCTGATGTAAAGCTCGCAGGTCTGTAGTTCCCAGGCTTCTCCTTTACAGCATTATTTAAATAAAGGCACAACATTAGCCACCCTCCAGTCCTCCAGCACCTCGTCTGTGGTTATAGATGATACAGATGTTTCTGCTAGGGTCCCTGCAATTTCTTCCCTAACTTGCCACAACATCCCAGGATAAATTTGATCAGACCTCGGAGATTTATCCATCTTTGTGTTTTCTGACACCTCCAGCACTTCCTCTCCTGTAATGTGACCTATTTTCAAAACATCAGTATTTATTTCCCCGAGTTTGCTTGATTCTATTTCTTTCTACACAGTCAAAACGGATGCAAAATATGCATTTGGGATCTCTCCCATCACCTGAAGTTCAACACATAGATGACCTTGTTGATCTTTAAAGTCCCCTATTCTCTCTTCAGTTGCTCTCTTGTTCCTAATGTCCCTGTAGAATCTCTTTGGATTATCCTCAACCTTAACTGCCAAGGCAGTCTCATATTCCATTTTTGCCCTCCTGATTTCCATCTTAAGAATTTCCCTATACTCTATACTCTTCAAGAGATTCATTTGATCCCAGTTGTCTCTATCTAATTTATGATTCTTAGACCACGTCATCAGCTTTATTCTCATTGACCCTTTTTGTTACCTCAAATAATTCCTGTGGCTGTGCTAAACATGATTTTCCCTTCAGAAATCCATGCTGGCTCATCCTAATCAATCTGATATTTTCTATGTGACAACTAATTCTGTTATCTATAGAGTATATGTATGGAATCCCTACAGCGTGGAAGCAGGCTATTGGGCGCATCGACTCCATACTGACTCTGCAAAGAGAATTCCACCCAGACCCACCCCCCTACCCTATCCCTGCATTTCCCACTCTAGGCATTATGGGCAATTTAGCATGGCCAGTCCACCTAACCTGCACATCTTTGGACTGTGGGAGGAAACCCACGCAGACACGGGGAGAATATGCAAACTCCACACAGAAAGTTGTCAGAGCCTGGAATCGAACCCTGGTGCTGTGAGGCAGCAGGGCTAACCACTGAACCACCGTGCCTCACTCGTTCTTTGCTGTTTTCATTTCCTTTTCCACTTTGTCCCTGTACTTTCTGTGTTCCTCTCTACCACTGAGGTTAAACTGAGTTTGTCTAATGACTGGGCTTCTCCTTTGAATCTTATTTGAACAGAGGTCTGACATTTGCAATTCTCTGGTCTCTGGCACCTCCCTTGAAACTTGGGAAGACTGAAATATTATGGCTAATACCCCAGCAACTTCTGCTTTCACTTCCCTTAATACCTTTGGTCCTAGTATCTTGTCAACATGAAGTACCAACAGTCTATTCAACGTTTCATCTTTTGAACCCGTTTAATGACTAGTTCCTCTCCTGATACCCTGATCTGGGCAGCATCTCCTTCCTTAATAAAGATAGACAGATACAAAGTATTCACTTAATACCTTAGCCATGCCTCTTGCCTCCACTTGTAAATGTCCTTTTTAGGTTCCTAATTACCCTGACTGCTCCTTTTATCACTTGTTTACTATTTATTTGTCATAGAGAAGACTTTGGGATTCCCGTTTATTTTGGCTGATATGTTTTTTCAATTCCTCTTTGCATCTATTTTTCACCTGGAACAAGAACAGATTGCTGGAGAAACTTTTTTTATTCATTTGTGGGATGTGGGCATCGCTGGCTGGCCAGCATTTCTTGCCCATCCCTTAGCAGGTGTGGCAGCATCTGTGGGGAGAAAGCAGAGTCAACGTTTTGGGTCCAGTGATCCTCCTTGATTGGTCTGTGAAAGGGTGTGAAGATCAGTCGCTGGACCTGAAATATTGACTCTGGCTATTCGCCACAGATGCTGCCAGGCCTGCTGAGTTTCACCAGAAATTTCTGTTTTTGGTCTAGATTTCCAGCATCTGCGGTTCATTGTTTTTTGTTTAGACCTTTTTCACCTCTTCCTATCTGAGCCTTCTGTGTTTCTATTGGTTCTCAGTTTTATCTTCTACCTGACACCTGTTGTAAGCACACTTTTTCTGCATTCTTATTTTCTGTCTTTGTTATCCTGGGCGCTTTGGATTTCTAGGCCCAACCTTTCTCATTTGAGGGGAGTATATCTTGATTGTACCTGAACCATCTTCTCTTTGAAGGCAGCCCATTGCTAACTTAACTTTTCTTGTCAACCTTACATTCTAGACCATTCTGCACAGCTTTGTCCTTGCTCCATTGAAATATACCACCTGATTTTTTTTTTAATCTACTCAATAATGTTGGCATTTTCCTTAATCCCTTGCAGATTTGTTCCTCTTTGTCCTTCCCACTAGTTGGTAGCCTATGGCCTACACTGGGCAATGCGATTGCACCCTCTCTGTTCCCTATCCCTGGCCAAGTTGATTCTGTTCTTGAAGTCTGAGGCATCTTCTTTCTTGAGCACTGCAATGTTGGTGCCTCCTCCAATTTTTGTATTTGAATTGGCACTCTGCACCTGTAACTCCTCAGTGTTATTTATTGTTCCCTGTACTTTCACGAACATGCAGAATAACCTAATTTAGACTTCATTGCTTTCTTCGTAATTCCGAATTCACTTAGTGACTTACTACTCTCTATTCTATTACTTTCTGTTCTGTAGGCATTTTGTGTACCATAGTATTCTCCAATATTCTGTCTTAGTTTCCAAGCCTGTGCAATGTCAGTTTAAAATCTTCCCAGCAGCACAGGCAAAACACAATTCAAGAATGTCAAACCCAGCTTTGATCAGGAGAAAATAATACAATTTTAACTTTGTAGTTGACTAAGTTGGATATTGTTCTGTTGCCTCTGGGATAAATTCCATTCATCTCCAGTAATTTTGTGAAATTCAAATCAAGCCCAATCCACTCAAATTAAATGTTTTGGTGGTAAAATTGTTTATAAATTGAATTTGAATTGTCTTACACTAGTGCCTGGGGAGCATAGATGGCAGCACAAAACTGCCCTGTGCTGGTGTTTAGATCATGATTTTAAAATTCCTCCAATTCCTCACCTCCCTCTTCCTTTATAATCCCCTGCAGCCCCATGACTTTTGAAGTTGTCTGGAATCGTCTAATTTTGATCTCTCCACCCCTATTACATTGTCCCTGGCCATAACTTCTATTGTCTACGTCTTAAGCTCTGAAATTCCCTCACAACATCTTTCTACCTTTCTTTCTTGCTTTAAGACACTTTCTAATAATTTTCTCTGTCTCTGCCCAAGCTTTTGGACATTGTCTTAAAATCCTTGTTTAGGCTCAGTGTCTTATGTCATAATGGATCTGTGAAATCCTTTCAGATTTTTTTTTCCTTTATTCATTCGTGGGATGAGGGTGTTGTTGGCTAGGCAGCATTTAGTGCCCATCAAGAGTCAACTATATTGCTGCAGGTCTGGAGTCACTTGTAGGCCAGACAGGGTGTGCCGAGATTCGAACCCAGGTCCCCAGAACGTTATCTGGGTCTCTGCATTAACAGTCCAGCGATAATAACTCTAGGCCATTGCCTCCCCTGAAGCATCAAAAAGTGGTTGGGCAAAGGACACTACACTGAGTATCTCCAGCAGTGCTGTCTAGGGGTCAAGGTAATTGATCTCCAAAAACCACAACTATTTTCCTTTTGTGCTGGTATAATTCCAACAGCTGAGAGTTTCCCTTTAATTCCTAATGACTTCATTTTGGCTAATGCCCCACGATGCTGTTATAAGTCAAATGGGGTCAAGAGCAGTCAGTTGCAACTCACTTTGGGGTTCAATTCTTTTGTCATTGTTTCAAGGCTGAAGTCAGGAGCTGACTGGCCAGAGAGAAATCAAATTGAGCGTCAGTGAGCAGCTTCTTTCTGTGCAAATATTGCTTGATAGCACTATCAATGACCCTGTCCATTAGTTTGATTGAGAATAGACTCATAGGGCAGTTATTGGCCGGGTGGTTTGTTCTGCATTTTATACATATATTTGTGGGTAATTTTCCACGTTATCAGGGAATTGCTGGTCTTTTAGCTGTACTTAACTACAGGCACAGTTAGTTCTTTAGCACAAGTCTTCTATGCTGCTGCTCAGTGTGGTCAGGGCTCATTGCCTTTGCATTATTCAATGTTTCAGCTGATTCTTGATATCACGTTGCAATCTATCATCTTTGATTCTATAATCATAAGAGGGGACCATAAG